GCCATTGTCACCAACATCCAGAATATAACCTCATGACCTCTGTCTTGGTCTTCCTTGCATCCAAAAGGACTTGTGCTTGGGTCGAGGGCAGGTCTCTCAATGCCAAATAAGGAATGCTTTGCTGTCCCCAGGAATGCCTACATTTGGTGGTGATGACTCTCACCACACTGTCATTTCTCTCTCCCTTAGCTACAGATCAGACAAAATGGGACTGGGCCAGGTTTTGCCTTCCATGCTTTCCATAAAGGCAAGGTTGATTTCTGTTTTCCAAATTTTGATTTTCTTCTTGGGTTAAGGTTAACTTCGTACCTGTCTGAGACAATGGATGGGAATTGTAGCTCATCTCTCCTGGGGCCACCAGATGGCGCTGTTTCCTTTGTCATGGCCCGGGGTGCTCCCGCATCCCTGCAGTTTCAGGGCCCAGGTGTCCCGCTGTCACAGCCAGGTCTCCCCGACAGGCAGAGGGCTCTGGCAGATCACGGAGTCCCCATCTTTGGGACGAGGGTAGGACAGCAGTTTCTTAGTAGCAACCTAATGCCCCAGCGGACCATAATCAGGGTTGACCCAAGGAAAGATTTTCCTTCCTTCTAAACAGCCAGGCTGTCCTTTGCCCCCAGTTCAGTCTGTTTTTGGAGAACTGTGCCCTGTGGTGCACAGAAGTCAAACAACTGAGGCTCGGGCTTTGGCTGACTTTCATTTCTCTCTCTTATTTAAATGCCCCCCTTAGTACTTTCTGATAGACGAACTTACAACCATTACCCTCCATAACATGAATGCAAAACCTTTTCCCCATGATATTTGAAGTGCAAAGAGAATGGTGTGAGAGCAGAGAGAAGCTGCAGGCAGCATCCTCTGATTCCTTACAGAGAAAGGATGCCAGGTGGGCAATCAACCTTAGCCACCTCCGAGGTAATTCCCCACCTCTTACCTGATGCTGACAGCTGCAGGGAGCACGCCTTCCAAACCGTTCACTGCCCGGGCCTGCAGCTTTAGAACCCCTCATGGCCCAGGGCCTGTGCCTTTTGAACTGCTCACTTCTCAGTGCTGTTTGCGTCCACCTTTGCTCGTGGTATATTGACTGGGACTATTTGTTCAGAATCCCTAAGTTGGGTCTTCATCTCTTCTCTGCTGCACTGACTGAGTGCATTTTTGTACAGGTGTCACCTGTAATATTGTCATGCTAACAATAGTTACCACAAGGTTAGGCATCGGGGCACTGTGGCTCACACCAGTAATGCCAGCACTCTGGGAGGTTGAGGTAGGAGGATCACTTGAGCCCCGGAGTTTAAGACCAGCCTGGACAACATGATGAAATCCCATCTCCACGAAAAGTTAGACAGGTGTGGTGGCATGCGCCTGTAGTCCCAGTTGCTTGGGAGGCTGAGGTAGGAGGATTGCTTCAGACCGGGAGGTCGAGGCTCCAGTGAGGTGTGATTGTGCCACTGCACTCTAGCTTGGGTAACAGAGAGAGACTCTGTCTTGAAACAATAACAAACAAACAGACAAACAAAACCCATTCTTCATCAGCTAGTGTGGATTTGAGGCCTGGCCTCATCATTTATTTCCTCTGTGTTCTGATTAAGTGACTGTATCACTGACCTCAAGTTGCTCGGTCCATAAAATGGTAATAATAACTATATGATAGATTGTTGTGAAATATAAACTAGGCAATATAGGTGAGGCACTAGGAACGATGTCTGGCATACTTAATAGAAAATTTTATTATATGACTTAGCTTTGTCAAATGGTTCCCAGAAGAGAGCAACTCAAGGAAGGGATGGAGGAAGAAGAGACAAGAGGTCTAAGTAGTACCCTTGGAATGGATCTTGAGATCCATCAAGATAATTGACACTATTTTGAGTAAAGTTATTATGTTGAGCTTCATGAGGGCATCTGGACTGGAACCATGAGGCTGGGGCAGCCAGCCACCCAATCTCATTTTAGATACTGCTGGTGAGCAATACAAGTTGATTCTATAATGAAAAGACTAGCTTTAAGGCATATGTGTATATGAGTGCGTGTGTGCAAGTATGAATATGTGTCTTTTTCTCCTTCTCATCCCACATGCTCTGTTCTTGGCATTCATAATTACTCATCATCCTCCATTGGGCTTCCCTGCCTCTCCTCCATGCTGTTCTCTCTGACAAATCATCTCTCTGCTCTCCCAGGATCATCTGTCTTTCTCCCAATTTCCAAGGCCCAGCTCCAACACAGCCCTGTCCCGAGGTCTTTCCCAAGCTCGCAGGGTTCCTTGCTCTCTTCTCTGTGTGCCCTTAGCCAGCCCTACACCCCGTGTCCTCCAGGAGCAAGTGCCTTCTTGACTTTTGTCCCCTACGTGCCATTACCCTAGTCCTGGCTCAAATGCACTTAGAGGATTTTAGGATTAAATTACGCGGTAGCAGAAATAATACCACTAAGTATAATGCATTTTTAATAAAAAACAAAACACCCAAACATGACAGGCCCAGTTCTTTTCCACCTCTTTCTTCGTCTAATCTAGACTCCCATGCCCTTTTCTGGGATGGGAAAGGGGCATTTACCGTAATCTATTTCCTATCCATTCCTTCCAGATTTTTCACTATTGCGTTTTTGTGTGTGCACGTGTCTGTTTATCCTTGGATCTCTAGCACGCCTCACATACCCTGACGACAACGTGATTGGATGATGCTGAGTGTTCTGTGTCCTTATCTGTCTTACCCAATAGGTTACAAGCTGTTAAAGGTCACTGACTGCGTTTTATTATCCTTTATCTCTAGGACCCGACACTGAGACAGGCACGCAAAGTGTGTTTCTGTAGGTAGCTGCCTAGGAAACAAGTGTGCTTGAGTGTGCACACATGGGTGTGACATGGGAAGAAACAGAACATCACAGAGGAAGGTTTAATTGGAGTGTAACTTCCCCTTGTTGGCTGAAATTCCCAGAAGACGTCTTGGATCGCAGCAGAAGCTGCAAGAAAGGGCAAGGTTGGAGCGAGCAGCTGAGCAGAACATTGAGTTAAGTGCAGGCACTGATCCTTGAAAGGCCTAGCTCACCCAGGGAGAGAGGGCGACTCAGGGTGCAGGATGTGCATCTGCAAAACCTCCCGGCTGGAGCTGTGCATTAAGATTTGCTTGGTCATTAAGATTCAAGGGGAGAAGCAGAGTCTCTCTTCCTGGCAGGTGTCTGTTGAGAACAGGCTGTGCCAGAGCAGATCTGGACTCCGTGGAGGACTTATGAACTACATCTCAAAACCTAGGGGGGATCGTGGTGCAACGGGGCTTTTGTTATTAGAGGTGTATTTTATTGCCTGAGTTTGGAAGGCTGTTTGCAGATGGAAATGTGTTCTCCAGGATCTTCCCCACAGTGGAGCAGGTCTTCTGTATTTCTAGCCTGTCTCCTTCCCTATTAATCATTCTGATTCGCTCATCCTGTGCAGATGTCATGGGCCTCTCTATTTGAAGACTTTATCGGTATTTATCTTGTAGCTTTTAATAAATCATTTGCTGATGGTGTGTGATCGAGGGTGTTTTACATGAGTAAATGCTGCCCTGCCCTCACCTTGCTGCATTTCTGTGACATGTCAGCGTGACTTCTGTTCTGGCTCCCTCCCTGAAACTGGAGCTAGAAAAAGGGGGGGAAATTGGCTGTCTCAAAATTCTTGTTTTGGACAAAGGGGAGCTTCACTTAATCTAATTATCTATAGTCATTATTTTATCAGAGGATGCACATTAAAGCAGAAATGTTTGCTGCAATAGACTAGGACAGACCATGGAAAGGAAATTTGCTCTTCAGTGAGGGATGGACTTTGATCTGTCTCCAGCCCTCTTAAGTCTTTCTGGTTTACAGTAAGTCCTAAACCAGGGTGTGACAAACTATTCTGGGGCCACCAGCCTGCCTCCTGCATTGTAAATAAATCTTTATCAGAGCAGAACCACAGCCACTTGCTCACGTATTGTCTGTGGTTGCTTTTCCAACTGTAGTAGCAGAGTTGAGTAGTTGTGACCCTCTGGCCTACAAAACTTAAAATAGTTATCATCTGTCCTTTCACAGAAAACCTGTGTCGGCCCCTGTTCTAGACATTTCACAGTTACCGTCAGTGGGTGATGGTGCTCTGTCTCTACCCCAGGAGTTCTCCAGTGTGTGCTGCAATTCGGGAGGCAAGTGTCAGGAACAGTAGTGCCCATGCCCATGTCTACATGTACATGTATGTGTATATGTGTTTGTGATGCATAGGTGTGTGCCTGGGTGCAGAGGGAAAATGTTGAAGGGTGTACACCAAGCATGTGAACAGCAGCCATGTGGGTGGCAGGATTCTGTGTTGTCTTTCTCATTATGAGTGTATATTTTGGGGTTTTTCTCAAATTACTGTATATTTTGTATACAGCAGCAATGCCAACAACAACAATGACACAATTCTTCCTTCTTGTGTTGCCAGATTTTCCCTGCTTGGTTGGTGACAGTAAAGTTACGTTCCCATAATGAAATTGAGCAGGGGAAGTGTCCTTTGTAGTTGGGAACTTCAGAAGCATTTGGTGATATCTGATCACATGATTTCTGCTCCCCTAACACAAGGAGAATGAGCAATTACAGTTGTCTTTTTGGCATTAAATTTGAAAAAAAAAAAAAAAGAATTTATATATGTACATATACACACCTACATGCATATGTACATATATATATTTCCCTTTTCCTGTGTACCATTTTTCTAGTTTCTCTTCATTTATTATAATTTTGGTAGTCTACAGATGCCAGTTGTGAGTCAATGGCTTTGGAAAAAATAAGAAAAGGTTTACAAAATGCTCTTTTTGAAGAGCATGCATTCCTTCATAAGTCAACAGCTACAGAAAGTAAAGACCAGGTTTGCTTACTCCTGGGAGATTTGCTCCTGGGAATTCTTTGGAAACCAGAGAAGGGCTCTTAAACCCTCTGTTCCTTGCGGCACGAACACTACATCAGGTACAACTGAAAATGCAAATCTAACTACCTTTTCATGTTTTTGTTCTTTTTTTCTCAAATGCAAGCTTTGAAGGATCAAGGTCATGAGGATCAGCCAGAATATGGGCTTGTTCCTGCCTCCCAGGTCAGCCTAGTTGGGTGCAGATATGTGTCATGTGGTTCTTAAAGTAGGTGCCTGAGTGCTGCCCTGGGACACTTGTACATTTAGGCGTGGACAAGAATACTGCTTGTGTGAGTCTGTTTTCACATTGCTGTAAAGAACTACTTGAGATGGGGTAATTTATAAAGGAAAGAGGTTTAATTGCCTCACAGTTCTGCCTGGCTGGGGAGGCCTCAGGAAACTTATAATCATGGTGGAAGGTAAAGGGGAAGCAAGGACCTTCTCCACATGGTGGCAGGAGAGAGACAGAGAGAGAGAGAGAGAGAGAGAGAGAGAGAGAGAGAATGAAGGAGGAAGTGTCTTACTTTCAAACCATCAGATCTAGTGAGAATTCACCCTGTATCATGAGAACAGCATGGAGGAAGCTGCCCCCCATGAGCCAATCACCTTCCACCAAGTACCCTCCTTTTTGAGGTGAGATTTGGGTGGAGACACAGACACAAACCCTATCGTTGCTCATACTTCTTAATCTTTATTCAGTTCATTCTCAAACTTGGGTTGTGAGACCCCAAAGGGAGTCCTGACTTCACAGCTACAGGTTCTGCCAAATGGTGGGAGCTGGTTGTACAGAGGATCTTGGTTTGATTCAGAATCTGCTCTGCTAAACCATTGGGGTCTGTGAGGGTCCTGAGATGAGGTGCACCTCTCTCTCGGTGTAGATGAAGAGGTACGTTTGGCAATTCCGCATCCCAGGACATCATGCCACAGCAGGGAGACTGCACCTGGCAGAGGCCCTGGTTTAGCAGACATACCAGCCGGAATCAGAGCTAGTGTGTCCTCTCTGTATGCATTCTGCATGAGTTGAAGAGGATCAGAATAATGTATGTAGAAGGTTTTAAACAATGCAAATGATGTCCTTTTAGATCGATTAGTTCATTTTCTAGTAGATTCCCCTATTTTTGAGCACACTCTTTATGCCAGCTGTAGTGGTAGAAGGGACCTTTTTTATCCCTGACCACTTCCTAACCCCACGTTCGTGTCCTTAGGTTTATTCTGTTCCCCTACACTTCTGTCAAATAATTCCTTTTCCTCTACTTGAGGCTGCCATCCTTTCTCTGACTTTTTTTCTAATTATCATTGAAAACCAAGTTCTAGGTTTGTGTGTCTCATCTTTGTCTTCCAGGGATCCTCCTTAAAGCCACGTGTACTGGGGTCAAAGCCAGATGCCAGTTGTATGTCAATAGCTTTGGAAACCTTGAAAAAATATTTTTTTGGAGAGCATGCATTCATTCATAAGTCAGCAGCTATAGAAAGTACCGAATAGGTTTGCTCACTCCTGGGAATTCCATGGAGACCTGACAAGGACCCTTAAACCCTCTCTTCCTTCCTGCATGAACACTGAGACAGGTCTAACTGACAATGGAAATTATTATTTTCCCCCATGACATGCTCTCAGGTTCCTCTGTACGCCCCACCAGAGTCCTGGGCTGTAATGACAGTCTTTTCACAGAAACTCTGTGCCTGGAAGAGGAGGGAGAATGAGAAGGAAAAAGAAAGAACAACTTGTGGTCGCCATACATTAGACTCTTTGCATACATTTTTTTTCTGCCCATGTAACCAACCAAAAAGCCTGTGATGATGTCCTTATTTCTCTATCTTACCGATGAGGAAAGCCATAGTGATGTAAAACCATTTAGTCCAGAGCGATTCTGGGTACGGCCGAGGTGAGAACCATCTCTACCTGACTTCCAGGCTCATGGCCTTCCTATTAGGTCACATTTTTTTCTGTTGGTTAACAGAGGGAGGGAGGAACAGGGAGGCTTCAGAATAATTCAGGAGGAAACAGGCACGTGAAGATATGCCAGTGTGATGTGATCATGCGTCGTGCTAGGAGGATGTGCTGGAAACAGTGTTGGTTACGTAGAAGTGTTCAGCTCTTCCCGGCGGGGCCTTGAGTGGGGGCCATAGTGCTCAGAGGCGGGGAAGGGCACGGAAACCTTCAAAGAAGGAGAAATACAAATTGCTTGTACTTTAAATTTCCTATTGAAAATGAAAAAGCAGAGTGTATTTTGTTATTTTTTTCACCTGGAAATTTACTGAGAAGTAAAAATAGTCTCGGTGTCTTCTGATTCCAAATCCTGAATTTCAGAGGCAGGGAGAATGTTCCCTTGTGTTGGCAGTGGGGATGGTGACAGACCCTGATACTGGTGTGGGTCCCGAGGCCCTAATAAAGATTTGTTCCCTGGTTTTCCTGCCAGGGCTGATATGCTTCCATTTCCCAATTGAAAACATACTTAATTGCGACAGGCTTTTGGCAGAGACGAGGTATTTGCCGGGTTCAAATCATCACACTGGAAACAGAAGAGTCAATATTCCAGTTTAAAGAGTTGAGCTCAACCTCTCTTGGAAGAGCCCTCCCTGATCCTCCACCCACCTTTCCCAGAGGACTTGATTCTCTCAACCGGAATAGTCATCTCTTTATCACACCAGGGCGCTTGTGAGGCCATTATGTGGGATTTCTGGAATGAAGTTCTTATTGGAAGCAGCAGCCTTCTCCCCTATCCTCCCCCTCTAGGAACCTGCGGAATGTGATTTTCCATTTGAGAATCTAATCTGCATTTGGCTGGAGTGTTTCTCCTTATTGGGAACTGTATTCTGGAGGTCTCCGTTCAGCTTACTTAAGAAAGCCCATTGCTTCTGTTTTTCTGGCTGTGTGGATGGGCAGAGTTGTGAATTGAGCTGATTATCTGAAAAATGTAGGCTCTGAAGCTTTCAGCTCTGTGTGTCTAGAAAACTGAGCTGATGATAAAGTGTTTGAGCTAGGGGCTTGCAACCACTTTAATCAACCCTCATCATAGTACAGATGGGGATACTGAGGCTCCCCGGGAGGGAGGTACTTAATCGGCGCCTCACAGAAAATTGCTAGTCGATTCTATATTAGAAGTGTGGTTTCTGCCTCCAAGTGTGTTCCTAGCCCCTTCCTTTCTCCATGGGTCCTTGTATCAATCACTCTTGCAAACCTTTTCCTCCAGGTCTGTCTGACGTGGTGAGTGGGACTCCAGGGTACAGTATTCTGGGAGAGTTTGTACTTTTCTGCCTAAGTTTTGTGACAGGGAGCAGCATGGAAAGAACAACCTAAGCCAGACCCCACATTCCAGGTACATAGCAAGAGGCTGCACGAAAGGGTCTGGAGTTTGGACCAGGGAAGGCTTGGGCTTGGGCAACCACCTGGCCCCCAGGACTGTGAGGCTAGGGTCAAGTCACTTCCCTTTTCTGATTTCTTGGTTTTCTCATCAGTACCTTCCTGGTGGGAGAGTTTAAGGCATAAATGAGAGATTCTGGGAAACGTTGGCACCATTGTGCTTGCTCCATACATGTTGGCTGCCTCCCTTCCAATTTTGAGATTCCCGAAGCCTTGGGAGTATAATAATGAAACTGCCTTTGCAAAAATTATGGCATTAAGAGAAATCTGACATAGCAGACTCTGTCTTGCCTCTAGCCTCACAAGCTAACTGCTTTTGCCCACTCCTAGGCATGGACCAACCTGACTATGGGAGAAATTTAGTTTATAATTTAACCTTAAGACAAGGATGATAATAGCTTTTCCCAAAACTACCCCTTTCTTGTTTGTGGACCCTCTTTTGTAAAACCAATGGAAGGCCACAAGATTAGAACCATGGGAGAGGCCTGAATTCTGCTAAGGCATGTGCATAGTTAAACGACAACTAGTCATTGCTTTCTACTTGTTGACTGCTCAGGTGTCACATGGCTGGTGGTCACAAGGTTTGTAACTTCCATAATTGCCTCTACAGATAACATTGCTATTGTAAAACCTAAGACTGATGCTTGAGATATTTTTCAGACCTTGCATTCTGGTAGAAAAAGCAATGTCATCCTGACCAGTGACCCCCTACCCAGGAACTGAGTGAGTGCACAAAGACAGCTCTGACACTCCTATGATTCCACCCTCAACCAATCAGAAGCACCCATTCCTTATCCTCCGCCCACCAAATTACCCTAGCCTCTGAGCTCTTGGGGAGGTGGATCTGAGAAATGTCTCTCAACCTGTTGCTCAGCTACCGTGTAACAGTTAAACTCTTTCTGGACTGTAACGCCATTATCTCACTGAATTGGCTTTATCTGTGTGGCAGGCAAGAATCCATTGGGTGGTTACAATAAGGCAGAGAAAACGGGGAAAGGAGACGTATGTTGAGCATCTACTGTGTGCTAGGTTGAATGCTTTTGGATTCATCTTTTAATTAACTTGGGGGTGTTCTTCAGAGGACAAGGAAGGAGTGGTAAAATCTTTCTCTAATAGCTCTTATGTTTGGCTAATCATGTACATAAATCGAGTCCATGAGAATGTTAAAGCAGGTCTTGAAGTTAGTCCAAATTATATATTCCAATCCAAACCAAGTCCAAGATAGTGAAGGTGAAAGACTGGCTGCTCAATTGGCTGACTCATCCCTCCACTGGAGCTTGGGGAGACTTGGGATTCCCTGTGTGCTTTAACTCCTTTGCTTGTGTCCACCTGCTCCCAAGTTCAGCTTAGCCTTTGTCATGGGTTGCCAGTCAGGTACTGGTTGGCTGTTGGGTGGGCAAGGTGGGAGGAGTGTGTCACAATTTGCTTCGTCTTAGCACACTTGGCATAAGTGCTTGTGTTCAAAGAACCTTTCTCTCTTTCAACCTTGAGCTGCAATTCCAAAGACTATGACGGGGGAGGGAAGGGAGAGAAAACAAAATTCGTGGTCTGTACTCCATGTCCCTCCATGAGGTCTGTACTCCATGAGACATCATTTGAAACCCATGAGAGAAATTTATAGATGAGGAAAGTGAGATTCAGTGAGCTTATCCAACTTGCTTAAGGCCACATGGATAGCAGAGTTGAATTTTGAATATATATATTTTTACTTCTGATTTTAAAGGCTGCATCTTTGTCTTAGCAACTCAGCCTTAGCTTTGGATTTCCATAGACCGGTGTTTGAATGTCATCATGTCATTTGGAGCAAGCTGAGTTTGTATTTGGAAAATTGAATCCA